GTGTTGTCAGCTATTTCCCACATGCTAGGCTCTGAGGACCTCTCAAAGCCAGGCATCATTATCTTGTTGAACAGATGTACCTGGACAGGCTACAAGCAATACCTGGCTCCGATGGATCTTTCAAAGAAAATAGCAGGCCCTGTGCAGAGCAGTACGTTTGGTGGTAAGCAATACCTGGCTCTGATGGATCTTTCAAAGAAAATAGGCCCTGTGCAGAGCAGTACGTTTGGTGGTGCTGCTGCTTTCCACAGAGTCATGCTCTAAGTGAGAGGCAGAAGCAGTGAGGGTGAGCAGCAGAAGCAAGAGACAAGTGGCAGCAACTGGGAGAAGCAGGGGTGGTAGTGGGAGTGCTAGTAGGGCAACTGGCAGTGCTTGAAATCACAGATGTGCTACCATGGCTTCTCTTTCTACCTCTGGCTGCAGGACAGTTTGGACTGCTCCTAAGTTTCTGAATACTATTAGCTACATTCTAATCAAGGTTGCACAATGCAGTTGTAATACAGGCACTATTTAGAATCAGGTGTCTTACAACTTAAGCTTTGTATCATATGTGGCTCAATAGGAAATAACCAATTGTATAAATAGTCAGAAATGTCATGGTAGGTTGGCGAAACTGTTTAAAGAAGGGAGTAAAATTCTTCCTATGATTTTCCCTTGCCAATAGTCTGGCTACAGTTCTGGGTGAAGTGAAATTCCTAAACACTTTTTAAACATATCCACATATGTTGCTCTACGCTAGTGCAAAAAAGATGTAACGAAAATGTATGTCATTATGGCCAGATGCGGCATCTCATAGGAAATGTGTAGTTGGCACACAAGCTTCAGTTCTCCAAATGCTCTCCCAGGCACTGTCAAAACCTGAGGCTGGAAGATGGAGATACAATCATATGAAAATGAAAGTATACCCTGTTGTGGTTTTCCACATCAGGACATAATAAAAAATCATCTGGCCCTTGGCGGGTCTAAAAATTAGGTAAATACAACCTCAGATGAACAACAACACATGACCTATTACACTGTGTCTTGACTTATTTTACAAAAATAAAGCCAAAATGGAGAAGCCAGGTGTGAAAAACTAAGTACACCTTTACTGCTTCCATAGGAACTAAGAGGCTAAATAGCAGTCAGGTGCAGCTAACCAAATGCCCTTGAGTAAGTGATCATCAGCAAATGTGACCACCTCTGTAAAAGCCAAGGTTTTAGCAGTTTGCTAGTCAGGAGCATTCAAGTGTGTGTTAATAAATTCCAAGGAAGAAAGATGTCAGCAATGATCATAGAGAAGCAATTGTTGCTGCCCATTGATCTGGGAAGGGTTATAAGGCCATTTCCAAACAATTTAAAGTGGAAAATGATTCACCAGTGGAAGACATTCAAGACAGTTGCCAATCTTCCCAGTAGTGGACTGTGAGGATATGGGTTTTGTAGTGTTTATTTCCCAAGCCTTGCAGGTGTTTCATCTCAACCAGAGATCTAATTGTTCCTGTGAAGTAGAGTCAAGGCCATTTCTCAGGACTGATAACCATAACATTCCTTGCTAATGGGGTACCAGCTTACCAGCCTAGGAACGAGAGATAGGAGCTGTGGAAAGTTACAAGGTGGGCGTGGACTTGTGGACAAAGGACTGTATGATTATTGGATATCATCTCATGGAGCAGAGACTTTAATTTCAGTTATAGAAAGAGAGGTTGATTGGTGTGTGCTTGCGTAAATTGGATGTGGACTTGTGGACAAAGGGCTGTATGATGATTGGATATCATCATGGAGCAGAGACTTTAATTTTAGTTATAGAATGAGAAGTTGATTGGTGTGTGCTTGCGTAAATTGGAGAAGGAGAAGAACATGGATGACAGGTTTACAGCCTTCACCGACTGATTGGAGACTTAGTCATGGTTACTTAGAATAGCCTAGTAATTAAGTAGTAAAGCTCCTAGTAAGTATTTTATTGTTTTATGGGAAAGTCTTACAGGAGCTTACTTAATACCTAGATGCTTTGCATTTAACCAGTACAATTGTATATTTTTGTATTTCTTTTGTTTTACAACTTTTTATTCTTTTAAAATAAATATTCTATATTTTACCCAAGTGTGATTCTTGGGGGCAAGGGTGATAGTGCCTAAATAATGTGCCTTAGCCACAATGGCATTGCTTGCTGTTTTTGGTTATTTGGGTGTTCTACCTAGTAAGGCCAGTGTGCATGGATCAAAGAACACAGCTAAAGAGCTTTAAGCTTAATTAACGGAGTAAGTGGGAATCTACAGACAGAAGCTTGCCCATAGTTGCCCGCTCACACACCTTCTAAACCTCACCTAGTCTAGAATATAAAGGTGGTAGATGTTGGGAACTACAGTTTAGCTTCTTCCCCTAGTGGAATGACTTCTCTAAGGAGACGCATTCCTGACATGGACAGCCAAGCAAATTCACCTCAAAGATGTAGGTATTCTTAGAGAAGGGCCATGCTAATCAACCTAGCTTCATATTCCACTTGAGGCCAAAGCTTTTTCCCCCCTCTAAATGCAGACTTCTAAAATTGATTCAGAAACTATATTATCTATGATACATTGGAAGTCATTAGTTTTCAGTGTGGGAATGTCCCATGGATATGATGGGTTTTATAGAAAATTGTGACCTACACAGTCATGGAGGAGAATAAGATCTTAAAAAGCAGATGGAATTGGGTTTCATCAGTACAATGATGGTACCAGATCACAAAATTCTGGACAACCTATTTCAGGTTTTTCACGTACATGTGAAATAGTATGGGGAATCATGGAACCCTGAGACATTCCCAGACAGAAAAGAAAAAAAACAAACGAACCAACCCAGTAATTTCACAGCTTAAAACGAGTGAGTTGTAAAATATTGTTATCTACTTTTAAAAATATTTTTAAAAATATTTTCACAGGTGGGAACTAGATATGTTTGGCCAGGAAGAAGTTACAGGCTTTCTTTCACATTGAATGCTGTGGCAGGTTTAAAAGTGACAGGCATCTGACCCTTGCCATATATCGCTGCTTTGCTGACTGCAAACATGTTCTGGTTGATCAGAATGCTATGCTATGCAAATAGCTAAGTTTAGAAGTTCAAAATTTTAAGGAAATTTAAGCAAATTTCAGAGCATTTCAGGCTTTCAAAACCACTAATTATAAACAGCTTTAACTGCTGGATAGCTTAGTGGTTTAGGTCTCTGGCTACAGGTTTGGAGTTTGATTCCCCACTGTGCCTTCTTGACAAAGACTGGACTGGATGATTGATTCATAAGGTCCCTTCCAGCTCTGCAGTTCTAAGGTTATTTATTTACAGTATATCACAGAAGTGAGTACACCCCATCACATTTCATAAATATTTTAGTACATCTTTTCATGTGACAACACTGAAGAAATTACACTTGGCTACAATGTAAAGCAGTGAGTATACAGCTTGTATAACAGTGTAAATGTCCTGTCCCCTCAGAATAACGCAACAGACAGCCTTTAATATCTAAACCGCTGGCAACAAAAGTGAGTATACTGTATATTTATTAATTTAGAGCCATAAATGGCTCAATCATTCTGAAGGGTAAAATGATTCTTTTCCAGGTACGCAAATTTGGTCTTATCAATGTATTTCATCTTTTTTAATAGGTTGTAGATTTATGGTCACTTGTGTTTTTACTAAAACAGTGCTGCTTTTGTAAAAATCACAACTCAAAACCCCTTTGCCCAAACATCCCCAAATTTGGCACAAAGCAAGACTTTCTGCAATTTCCGTGCCAAATTTGGTATTGATCCAAGGTCCAGTTATAATTTTTTGTTTGGGGCATCCCTATTTTTTATTTCACTTGTGGAATGTTTTCTAATATATGGCTGCACATCTATGCAATCATAAACGAGTAGAATTGGGGCTTGAATGGGCTACTTTGTATCAGAGATTATGATTCTTTAGGCTGTGCTGGTTATTATAGAAGTGCCTACCTGTACATTTTATTATTTTTTGGAATCAGTTTTGTATTTTTAAATCATGTTCCCAAGGACTTATCTCTGTGACTTTTCTACCTTGCATTAAGTGTTTCCTTTGATGTGCTTTAGTTCTTTTCTTTAATATTTAATACAATTTAGTTTCATCCTAGACACAATCCATCCCACCCACCACCCATCTGCTTGGTTTACATATCAGAGAGTTCCCCAGTTAAGGACATAAAAAAGGCAAGCTCTTAGGCTTAGAGTCTGTCTGTTTGTTTGCTTGCTTTGTGTATTGCTGTTCTCAGAACAAGGAATAGAGACCACCCTCACAACAGAATACCTCCCCTCTGTTACATAAGCAGGATTTCCTTTCATCTTGAGTAGACAAAGGAGGGGAGGCGATGGTATCTTCTAGGTCAAGATGTGATACCAATAAGCTTGGCTTTTCAGAGAGGCCAGCCAGGGAATAAGCTTTACATTAGGTCTGGGGAGTTTTCTTTTAGGATTTGGGGGTCATTTTCAGGGATCCCTCTGGAGGGACTCACATTGGAATCAAGGAGAGAAGACATTTTTTCCTTGTCCTGATGAGAGCATTTTTTGCTAGTTCTACTCTGAAGCCCATTAGATTCCACTTTGAGCCACAAGGCAGAGTCAGACTTACTTAGGAGCCTGACTTATTAGAAGCCATCATTCATTCCCACAAAGTCTACCTTCACCTATGAGGCACTACTTCCCTTTGGTCCGAAAGCTCTACTCTTTGAAACAAGAATAAGCTTGGAATGTACTAACTGCTGTGTTGCCCATAGTATCAATCACTGCAAAAATGAAATTGCAATCTTTGAGAAACAGACACAAAATTTCACAAGGTTTACAAATGATCCTGTCCTGTTGAGGTATTCAGTGTCCAAGGTTTTGCATTGACATTATGTAGACATTTTCTGTACAGACATTTTAGTGCACAGACAAGTGGGTCCCCCACCCCCAGATTGGTGCACATTTCACATAGTTTTTCAAGTACCACTGAAATAGCTCATTTAACTCATTGGTATTGGCATTTATTACCTGAAATTTCCTTCGGGCTACAAAATACTGCATTCTCCTTATGACTTTGACAGCTGTTCGATGGGCTTCTGTTAGCCTACGAAACAAATCAGACAGAGGGACTAAAAACAACTTCAAATACAGAGCAAAATAATTGAGACAATAGAAATTTACAAGAAGATGTGAACCAATTCATATCCCTTTAGATTGTTTGCTTTGCCTTCTTATACCAGTTGGATGTTAGATCTCTAACAGCTGAGACCTTGTTTTCTTTCTCTTCTTTTTTCTTTCAGATAATAGAGGCCCAGTTTGCCCTTATTGAAAATGGTTCAAAGTGGGAAAGAGAGAGACTTATTTGCCTTCAGAAGAGCCCAGCACCTGGTCTCTTCTTGTTGGTTTGTTTGTGTGAGTCAATGTTCTAAGGATGCTTCCTTTGCAATGCAGTACATAGAGCCTTAGAGGTCATGTTTTAGGCTGCCAGCACTCTTAAAGGGGTTACCTGATAACAGCATTTGATGATGATGGTTTTCCTGTGACTAGAGCAATAGTACACAGGTGCAGTTTGAGGTTAGTCATTTGATGATGATGGTTTTCCTGTGACTATAGACATGTGAATTTTGTTTTGGAAGAGAATGCCATCAGTGCAAGCAGTTAATAATGTAGGGAAATGTGGAACACCTTTACAGCTTTCGTTATGATCCTCCTTGAAAACTGCACACAAACTACAGCCTCAGAGAAATCAAGCATGGGGAAATATTTAGAAATCTATATGACAAAACACTTAAGGCAGCCTACACAAACACCCCCTCCCCACTCTGAGACACATAAAAACTAGAAGAAAATTTGCTCCTCCTTGAGGCTAAAACCAAAGTGGAAAAGACCCATGCCCCCTGTACACACAACAGATACACACGCTAGAAGTGCTGGCAATCTTTTTCTGCTTCTCTTGGAATTCTTTGGGTATTCTGCCTGATGATAATGCTTCAAATTTAATTCAAATTTAGCTTTTTGTGAAACTTCATTGACCCCTTGTGACTCCTCCCATTTTAAATTTATGACCGTAATGAAATGGCACAGCAGTGATCTGTGATCTTTGGTAATTGGGGAGGGGTATCAATTACATTTTATCTGCTATCTCTTATCACTTAAGTCACTGGTGCCTATATGCTTGTGACCCTATTCCATCACTCAAGGCTCATGTAAATAGGGGAAGTAAATGGGAAAACAGAACCAACCAATGCACCAAAGGAGAGGAACAAATGCACATATATGTACATATAGCCAACAGCAGTGCCCAGTTTGCAATATTTCCTTTTCACATTCATTGTGTGAAAAGCAGAAACACAGTGATTTTACATGTTTGTGTTTATATTTAGATGCTTGCTGAGGAGGAGCTCGAAACCAGCTTGCATACTGCAACTGTCTCTGCCTAAGAAGCAGACTTCGCCTCAATATCATCAGCCATGTGAATTAGGTATATTAATAACAGCACATAAGTTTGGAACTACCCACAACATCTTGATGCACAGCCTTGAAGAAGATGATTTATCATCAAAAGCTCACTGTTTTTCATTTGTCATTTTGTTTTATATTATTAATGGTCAAAGATATCACTTCTTCCGTCTCCGCCTAAGAAGCAAACTTCGCCTCAATATCATCAGCCATGTGAATTAGGTATATTAATAACAGCACATAAGTTTGGAACTACCCACAACATCTTGATGCACAGCCTTGAAGAAGATGATTTATCATCAAAAGCTCACTGTTTTTCATTTGTCATTTTGTTTTATATTATTAATGGTCAAAGATATCACTTCTTCCTGCATTTGTACTGACTAGGAAAAAAAATTATGTCCCATTGCTACAGACATTGACAGTATATTAACATTCCTTTTCCTCTCTACTCCTAGTAGTCCTTCATCAAAGAACTGAAAAAGAGTTCTAAAGACCAGATTAAAGAACTGCTACAGAGCTAGAGGGGGAAAAAGGAGGCTGCCATTTTTGTTTGTAACCCTCAAAATACAATTATTTGTTTATGGGATGGGGTGAGGAAAATGACTTTTGTACGCACAGAGTGGATGGTAGAAAGTGGAACCAAATGAGATGAGGAAAAGAAATGACAAATTTATAACAATGGTAATGAATTTTCAATATGATATTGACATTATTGACACCAACAACGAATATTTGAAGTACAGTCTACTAAAACAACCTCATGATAGAATGATTTACTTGTCTTTCAGCCAGTCTTTGAAGTATAAATGGAAATGTCTTTTATTAAAAATGCAACTTTTGGCTACAGCTAAACTCAAGAATTTTGGTAAAATGAGCTTATTAATATATATAATGTGTTAAGAATCCCTGCTCTTTGTTTAATCCTCAAGGTATACACTGGGATTTGTGAATGAAACTCCAACTTCCTCTCTCCCTCCCTGGCACACACTTTCCTTCGTAATTTCTTTTCCCCACAACAATTACTTTGAGATCTGTAACAGATTGCCTTGGGAAACTGAAGTATTCTGAAACTGGCTTTTGTGTGTAGCCATTTCTAAAAAAGAAATTTCTAAAACGGTACAATCTTTCATTATTTTGCTGCCATTTCGAATGTCATAGTTGTGTCCATTTATTTTCGTGTGTAGGGATTGTCCTGTTTGCCCTACGCAAAATGCGGCAGATACAGAAGAGCAGTAAAACAGAACTACATTCAAGAGACTGAGAGACAATGATCATACATTCCATTTTATATGTTACTATCCACAGACCCAAGTGTTGAGTACCAAAAGAATTCCCATTGAAAAATTCACCAGAGGTATATATGACCAAATCCAGACAGACATGCCACAAGAACCTCAACCAGGCTCTTTCTAGCTATCACCCAGAATACAAAAAAAAAAAAAAAAGATTGTTGGAGTTTCTGGATATATAGGTCCTATCCTCAAAACATATCCCACCAATATTCTATGTAAGGGATATAACTGAGGAAACCAGAGGCTAGTCACAGCCTCCCAGATCAACCAGCTTAGCCACTGTGGATATAGAGGAGATTTTCACCAACATTCCATACAAGGGTAGACTACAAACTATTGAGAATATCATTCTGAACAAGGCCACAGGACATGTAGTTTCTAACCCATTTGACTTTGTAGTCCCACAGAACTACATCGCCACTGGGATTAATGTGTATCTCCAGATCAACAGGATGGCTATGGTGCCACAGAATGCAAACACATTCATGGTCAACATGGAACAATGCTTCCTCAGGCGTTTCTATGAGATTCTTTCTTTCTTTCTTTCTTTCTTCTCTTGTGCCGAAATGCCTCTCCTTTCTCTGAGATACATTCTTTCTTTCTTTCTTTGTATCAGAGTGTTGCATGATTTAAAATTATGAACACATATGAAATATAGGTAAAATTAAAAATAAATTAAAATGTTAGACTATTTTTTACTAGAAGCAAGCTACTTTCCCCAATTTATTGAGGATCCAGTTTCGCTTTGGCCCTGCCACTAAGGGAAGAGATTGGCTGGAGGTCAGACCTGCTCAATGCAGACTGGAATGCAGCAGTCATCACTTGGTTCCTCTTGGGAACCATTTAAATGCCTTCTGGATGTTCCTAGCCATTGCTGAGGCTTCCCTTAGCCAACTTTCCTTAAAAAAATTAATACTTTTTTGTGTGCGAGGGGGTTATGTTTATGAGTCTGTTGAAACAAAAGGAAGACTTATTGTTTGGTTCATACCAATGTCTATTTACCTGATGCCAATTTTCTGTGACACCTTTACTTGGTTAAGGGTTGACAGTTGTGGGATTAGGAGCAGATCTACTTCGGAGGAAATGGATTCTGCAAGTGCACATCCCAAGATCCTCTTAGCAGATCTTGGGATGAAGTGTGCCATGGACGTGGCCAGCTCTGGGCCAGGCACACTTTCCTTGACAACAAGTTACAGCGGGTCTTCTCAGTGGTCATTCACCCAGTTGCACCACTCTACAATCAAAATTGTATCTTGAATCTGACCAATTTTGTGTGGCATCTTAATTTTAAGGACTACAATTAAGCATACGATGTGGGCCACAAAGCAATTGTGAGAAGAGAGCATTCTGAATGGTATGGTCAGACAGTGCGGGGAATGGAAAGTGTCAACCTCTTGCAGTTGCTCTTCATTTATTTTTTAAAGAGGAAAGTTAGGTGTGACCAGCTATTGTGTATAATGCTAATTTGGGCCTGAGAGTGTAAGCAAGCTCTGGATTGAAAGTTGTTGATTTAAAATCACAAATGAGACATGAATTCACTGAGTAGCTTCAGGAAAGCTGCCATCTCTCAGACATGTCTTTGTAATACACTGAGGCAGTGGTGTCGAACTGTGGCCCTCCAGATGTTCTTGGACTTCAACTCCCAGAAGCCTTCACCACCACCTCATACACTAAGGAATAACACTATTGTACTTCAGAGAACTCTGCTGTATGCTTGAAATAGAATGGGTAACTCTTTTGTTGATAAATAGTCCACCCCTTAGAATCAGAAGAGAGCCACCAACATTGAAGTGCTAAGAAATGAAAGTACTATAAACCTCTCTTGATTCCATCGCAGTTCAACAAAATAGGGGAGATGATCAAAGACCAGATTTCCTCATAAATCAACAAAATGAAATATATAAATTACTTCCTGGAAAGCTGATTGCCTTTTTTGAAGTACTTTGATTCTACCCAATTCTTGAAAACAAGGCCTGAAAAGTTTCAGACAGCTTTTGTTTTGTGGAGTTCCTTCAAAGTAGTTTGTTACACAGCTGTGCTTGCCTAGTTATTGTTGCTCCTTACTTTTATTCAAGACTTCTTTTTATTCTGACTTTGTGGAGTAGTAAGTACTGATTCAGCCCGTGCATTTGTCATTGGCTTACTGTCTGGTGCTTTTAGTAATACCTATACAGGTACTTTAAAAATGTAACAGAATAAGAGAACTCACTCAGCTTCTCTGTTGTTATTTATTTTCTTTTATGTTGAGGTTTTCATATGGAAGTTGAAGTAGATAATACACTTAGCATTTATTAAGATAAGACATGGGCTATTTGTATCTACTGTATATGAATAGATATGAATACAAATAGTGGCACCACAGTTGCCATGGCAGCCCATTCCCTCCCTCCCAAACTGGCTGGTCCACTCAACTTTCACAGCAGGGCACTTGGCTCCATCATCACCTTTGCGCCAATCATGGAAGGAGCCTGACTGGATGTTCCCTGCCTAACTGTGTAGCTGATCACTGCGGCATAGAGGTGGGATGAGGAGTCTCCTTGCTCTGACAATAAATGGTCAGCTATGTGGGGAGGCAGGGAAGAGATGGCCAGGCTCCTTCTGTGACTGAGGCGACAATGATGGCAACAGAGCCAAGTATCACACTGTGAAGGATGAGTGGACCAGCTGGTTCTGGGTGGAGGGAATGGGCCCCCATGGCATCTGTGGCGCTGCTACCCTGTTTGCCCGAAAATAAGACCTAACCTGAAAATAAGCCCTAGTAGGATTTTTCAGGATGCTTGAAATATACCGTAAGCCCTATCCTCCAAATAAGCCCCAATTAAGTGAAACCCCGCCCACTTCCCTTGTGCAGCAACCAGAAGATGAAATGACTGTATCTGAATAAATGTAGATTGTTGTACATTAAAAAAAATAAAACATCCCTTGAAAATAAGTCCTAATCCATTTTTGGAGCAAAAATTAATATAAGACCCTGTCTTGTTTTCAGGAAAACAGGGTATGTGTATTCGTATCCCCAGGGATATGAATATGAATAGCCCATGTCTAATTAAGAACCCATGCTATGTCAAGTAGTGAAGGGCGTCTGCCTGTCATAGCAAATGCCTTTCCTTACCTTGCACATAGCTGTGCTTCATTTTATCACTGGTAAATGGAATGTAAACAGTTTCTTTTGCAAGTTTTATTGCTGAGGCATGTATTACTAACAAAATCCTAATGCTAGGAGAGAGAACACTAATGACACTCCCTTTTATGTCTAGTTTGATCCCAAGTCTAAAACTACTAGTACTGTAATTGTTATTTGTCCACTGAGTTAAGTTAATTCAGCTACCACATTGCTGATTAATCTGCTTTGGTTTGTTCATTAACCTGGTTATGGTTTTCCACTGTTGTAGATGCATGAGCTCATTAACACTTTCTTTGGATATACAGTATTAAGGAATTGTCTGGTTTTTCAAAAACATGCTTTTAAAAAAGGAGATCATTTTCCTAAGCTATTCTCGGGGCTCAGAAAAACAGCACCCCCTACACTCTGTTATTTCAAAAGCCCTGTTCATCAGTCCTCCACCTCTAAAAACACATTCCTCTTTGCCTTCATTTGTTTGTCAAGCAGTATCTTTGGATGCAGCAGCAACGCATAAGAAGAGGGGAGGAGCATGGTTTCATTACGCCTTCTGTCCATCTTTCTGACCATATTGCAACATGCCAAGGTAGCAGCACTTTGGAAAGCAAAGCACTGGCAGCTGTTCAACAATGGCAGAGGCAATTCTCCTGGTACCTTGTGTTGTTCTTGCACTTTCCTGGGCTTTGTGCCACCACCCGAAGGCCAATCTAAAACAAATTAAATAAAAAGGGAAAGGAAAAAAAGGAGGAAACAAAGGAAATGACTAGCTCATCTCCTTTCCCTTGTGTCCTCAGCTTGCCATTATAGTTAAAAGTTTCGAATGATAGAGCTGAAATAAGTGAAACAAGTTAGTCATGGCTTATATGTTCTGTTGATCTCCATTGGTCTCCATAAAGCCTGACTAAGTCTAAAACTATCTCACTGTATGGCTTCCTAAGCAAGCTGTTTGGACACTGAAACTACATATTAGTTACCAATTTACAAATGTAACTAACAGGTTACTTCTGAGTTTAAATGTAACAAAAGTTATGTTAAAAATTGAAATGCTATATTGGCTGTGGCACAAAGCAGACTATCCTCTCATCCACCATATCATAACTTCAGTATGCAGAACAGAGTACAAAACAGCACAAGGTTATACTTGAACCGATTGATATATGGAGAGGCCAGACTCCTGTAACTATATAGGTACCTACAAATTTACCTTATATATAAAAATATTAGTTACAAATAACTAGTTATTTGCAATTAGTTACATCCTGTTTCTGCATATACCTTATCCATGTAATTTCCCCCATTGTCGATAGTCTTTCATATAAACAATCTTGATGGATTTGACCTCATTTCCAAAATTGTTTTTGATTGATCATTATCGTATACATATAGGCAAAAAAAAAAAATCAATGCACATAAATAAACGGTAGGCTTTTAAATCTGTGCCATACATTTTTGTTAAACTCCCAGAAATATTTGTTACAGCAACGCATTTTACAGTAAGATTAGGCAAGAAGGTTCTAAAATTTATCTTTTTTACTCGAAGTAAAAATGAATTATAGCTAAGGCTAAGAGACAAAGGTTTCAGCATGCATTGATCAATCTCATATCAGAAGACGCCTCCATCTAAAATCTGAGGTTAATGTTTCAATGAAGTCAAAATGCAGATCTAGGCCAGCACTAGATTTTTGTTTCAGAGCAACATTTGTTGTTGTGACCCAAGTAGTTCAAAACTCATGTCTATAACTGTATATCACAACCAGCAGTAACATGACCAGGGTTAAAGCATCCCATGAGAATTAGAGCTTGCAAATTAATGGCCAAGTAGCAATATATAACAAGGACGTGGTGGCGCTGCGGGCTAAACCGCAGAAGCCTGTGCTACAGGGTCAGAAGACCAGCAGTCGTAAGATCGAATCCACATGTTGGAGTGAGCTCCTATCGCTTGTCCCAGCTCCCGCCAACCTAGCGGTTTGAAAGCATGCAAATGCAAGTAGATCAATAGGGACCACTTCGGTGGGAAGGTAACAGCGTTCCGTGTCTAAGTCGCACTGGCCATGTGACCATGGAAGATTGTCTTCGGACAAAATGCTAGCTCTATGGCTTGGAAACGGGGATGAGCACTGCCCCCTAGAGTCGAACATGACTGGACAAAAATGGTCAAGGGGAACCTTTACCTTTACCTAGCAATATATAATAAATAGGATATTTAAAAGATCTTCATTTAGGTGTTCTCTCTTTTAAGCCAGTATACACTTTCATCGACTCTGCTTTCCTAAGTAGGCCCTGGGATACATACTACAGTATGGTCTATAACCAACAATGCAATTTTTGGGTGGCTAATAGCCTTGCTTAACAGCAATGCCTTTCTGTACAATGTTCTTTTGATGATAACAAACAAAAGAGTATGAAATGAGTGAACATTTCCTCCACTTACACAATCTGAGCACATGATACAATGTTTTGGCACATTTGTTTAAATTCTGCCTTTGCCTCGATACAGGAAAAATATAGCTCACAACATAGCTTAAAAAGCATGTAAATAAACAACACAGTGAGTTTTAATATCGAAATGCAATCAATGAATGTTCTTGTCTAAAACAAATTAGAAAAAACAAGTTGGAAACACGCTAAAATGTTGTAGAGAAACAAAAAAGGTGCAGCAGCCTCACCTCCATTAGATACCTCTTTCTCTCCAGCTAGCCTGTTTCTAAAAGTTGGCTAGAATAAAAAGGTCTTTGCCTGATGATGGAAGGACAGCAGAGAAGGTGGTTAGTCCCGCCTTCCCTGAAGGGCGCTCTGAAGCCTAGTAAGAGCCAAGGTTGGCCAAGACTGGCTGGCCCCAGCCTCCTCAGACACATGGAGTGAAAATCTCTTCTCTCAAATTTGCTTGGGAATTCCAGGCACCCAACTACACTGATAATAGGGACGTGGTGGCGCTGTGGGCTAAACGGCAGAAGCCTGTGCTGCAGGGTCAGAAGACCAAGCAGTCGTAAGATCGAATCCACGCAACGGAGTGAGTGCCCGTCGCTTGTCCCAGCTCCCGCCAACCTAGCGGTTCGAAAGCGTGCAAATGCAAGTAGATAAATAGGGACCACTTCGGTGGGAAGGTAACAGCGTTCTGTGTCTAAGTCGCACTGGCCATGTGACCACGGAAGATTGTCTTCAGACAAAACGCTGGCTCTATGGCTTGGAAACGGGGATGAGCACCGCCTCCTAGAGTCGAACACGACTGGACAAAAATTGTCAAGGGGAACCTTTACCTTACCTAACTACACTGATAGGCTGAGAGGGGAAATGCCAAGAAAAAGGCCTGCACTTTCCACAGGGGTTCAAGTGAGGCCTTTTTGGCCTTCCAAGGCAGCACCCACAATGTTGCCAACCTCCACTATCCACTGTCAAACTGCCCCCCCCATATAAGCCCAGGAGCACCACAGCTATTTAATTGTGTTTTAACATTATAATTTAGCAGCCAGTATGCCACTGAGTTATATGACCAGGATAGGTTGATCACATAAGTGGTCCCCCAGTTCCAGCTGTCTCTCTTTTGATCTCATACTAATTGTGTGATCAGTCATGCAATGGGGAGGGGTTGGGATCTGCTAGAACAGGGAAGGCCTATGTGATTGTCCTTCCATAAAGAACAGGATAACAGCATACAGTATCTCTCTCTCCCTCCCTCCCTCCCATCTGGTGAGCTACCTAGATTCTCTGTCTTGGGGGAAAGATAAGCTTTTCATGGAACAGAGCTCACTTCTGCAAATCCATAATGTAGACCTAACTGTCCTAAAAAGTACTCCCAAAGTACATAAATAACCAACACCACCTACATCTGTTACCACTGAAATCGTTGCTTTGATGGCAGAAAGGATATCATTCCAGATTTAACTCAAGAACAAATAGCAGACAAACAAACAAACAAAAATTATTGAGAAATATTCTCGGGAAGGTTCAAAGGCTTGCTCTCAGATACGTTCAATATGAGGTTACAAAAAAGCAGTTATAATCTCTCATGAGAACACAATGTTCTCAAACCAGGTCAAAAGGATTACTTACTTTTTAATATACATCAGTTTGTGTTTTCATGAATAGCTACTACATAGGCCCATTTCTATGTTAATAATAATAATCACTTGATGGGTCAAAGTCAGCAAGTTATTCCAAAAACACAGATGTCTCTAAAAACTAATCATATGCCATAAGCATGTATCCTTGCATGTGTCTGCATGGGAGGAAGTGTTCCTATGCTCTCCTGGTAAAATTAAGAATTAAAATTATGGATGAAGAACTGTCTGAAGATATAAAACACAGAATTAAAATAAAACTGTGGTTTGAGCCAAACTGGGCACAAGAGAAAACCCTGATGGGAAGGGATACTAGTCATAAACACCAATATTGTCATAGCTTGTGTACATGAGCAAATTGTTGATCCTAACCTACTGTGCCTGAAGCATCTCCGTCACAGTGACTTTGACTGCATGCTCAGACCATTAGATCTGGAAAAGCACCATTTTTGTCTGTAAAGTCCACTGAGACTCTTCCAAGTGTAAGTGGTCCGAGAAATGCATACTTAAGAAGGTCAAAGATCAAGACTGTGAGGAAAATATAGAAACAAAGGTTACATTCTTCTTTAGCAGTTGACATGCGATTTCCTCCTTGGGTAGTCTTTAAGAATGTGCAAATTTTAGTGTAACTGCAGACAGGAGAGAGTAATGCCAGTGGTCATATGGAATGTGGCATATCTAACATCTAACACTATACGTGATTTATCTATTTACAGACACAGCATACATACCTTCCGATTAAAATAGCTCCAGTGCAGAGGAAGTGAGGTCTGAATTTCTACAGAAACACTTGAATAATCTCATGAGGAAGTTTATACCGTCTCCTGTGCTGAACACTGAAAGCTTACCTTTCCCCAAGACTCTTGGAAATCTGTTTGCTTCCTTGTAGTTTTAACCTCTGAGATCTTGTTTCACAAATAAATACTTTATTCGTTAAAGTCAAATGCTACACAGCTTGTTTCAGGCCATGGTTATTTCTTAAAGCAATAATCAAAGATCTGGATTCCTTTTTAAACAAATTAATACTGGGAATGACACATTTCACTTACTAAGGGCACTGTCAGATAGATGGCTCTTCATGCTAGTTATTACAAGGTACTGTCTATCTATCATGTCTTTCGCTCCATGCAAGGTTTTCTGGGGAAAAGAATGGAAGAAGCATTGGAAAAAGAAAAGAAGAATGCTACAATAGCTAAACCCCTGTTGCTTAGTGTGGTAAAACACAGTAAAACATGCTCACTGAATCAGTGGGGATGCAATGAGTCAACTTTGGTGTAAGTTCCATTGATTCAAATGGGCCTACTCTAGTTGTGTCTCACCATGGTAAAGTAAAGTAGGCCTATTTGAACAATGAATCTTACAGAGGAGTTAAGTGACCAACTCCCCAATTATACAGTGAGCCTATTCTAGCATGATTTAATATATTAAGCAACTGAACTTCAGCCAAGGTAATTGTGAAATTTAGTGAATGAAGCAGGGCAACTGTGTGATGAAACCATTATCAGAGAGTACTCTAGACAGCTAAGAGCAGTGCCATAGTTTTGGGTCCAATTCAAAGTGCAGTTTTTAACAATTAAATGCCTAAACAGGCTAGGGCCAGGTTACTTGAAGGAGTACCTTCTCCCATATTGACCTACTCAGACTCTAAGGATGTGTCCAGACAGGCATTTGTTCTCTGTTTGGTACTGTACCTTGCTGGGGCAGATTAGTCCACACCTTTTTCCAGCATCCACACGACAAGAAGACTAATTTGCCCCAGGGTACCCCAGCTTGGTCCTTTTTCAGCCCGTCAGGGGCTTCTGCTTTTTGGTGTGGGTTGGTGCCCTCTAGTTTAGCCTATTCCCCTTGCATGCAGTCAGTGGGAAGGGACTAAAATTGAGCCTCACAACTGTCAAAGCTTCTAAGGCTCCTTCCAGCTGGATTTTCTGGTATTGTGAAATGGTGAATAAACAGGATATGGGCAAATTGAACACTTAAAGCAAAGAAAAACATGTTGATTTTTTTCTTTTTTCCTTCCCTTTTTTCATGGGGAGTTTGTTACATACAAAAGAGAGGTGGGAAAGGTAAGTGTGGCTAGAAGGCAACTTGCAAATGGAGAGATATATGTGGATCTTCAGCAGAGCGTTAAGAGTCTCTTTTGATGACCTTTTATTCAAAAAGATGCCCTCAATCTGTTCATTCCAGTTCTCAGAGGTTTGTGGGAAAAAGGAGCAGATATTATGATTCTATGCAATTCTCATTATTTTTATTCAGTTTTTATTTTTTTTAATTTGTGCAAAAAAATAATCCTGCAAATGTGAAATGTGAAATCTCACATCTCACAAAAAACGTCTTGCAGGCAAGGAGAAAAATGTGCATCTTCTCTTTCATGTACATAAGAACAGGACAAGTGAAGATTTACTTCCCTAATCTAGGGTTAGTATCATAGGAGATCTGTTTAAATTAAAAGAGTTTAGATTAGTCATAGGCATGAATACTTGTACAATTCCTTGTTCTTATTGATTTAGGCTGTCCTGACACAAGATGCATCAGCAAGAAATTTTAAAGTCCCACAAGTTTCTTTCCTTCCCAAAGGAGCTCTGTTCCTGCCTCAGGGTCTCCGAATTGTTGTTTTTAAAATGTATTTAGTGTCCTTCTTTAATGAGAAGCAAAGCAAACCATATTACTCACAACAAGTACAAAGATACTGGCTGATTTTGAAAGTATGCAAACAACCTATCTATTGCTTTACTCTTTTAAATAAAGGAGTGGTCATCTTAAACTTGGACAGTTTGGGTGATTTGTGTGATACCACAAACTGCATAATTTTTCGTAAAGGGACTTTTTTTTTAACAAAACATAATCTAAAAAAATAAAATCCACACCCAACTTTCGCCAGTTCAAGAACTCTGCCAAATCTTTATTGGCAAGGAGAATGCTGCAGTTTCTTGTCCTTGATAATTTTTTGTAAAGGGACTTTTTTTTTTAACAAAACATAATCTTAAAAAAAACTCCAAACCCAACTTTCGCCAGTTCAAGAACTCTTCCAAATCTTTATTGACAAGGAGAATGCTGCAGTTTCTTGTCCTTGTTCATGTCTGGAGCCAAGCCAAAAGCAATATCCTCCTTATCTTGAGAGCCGGACTAGATCGGGACATCTTATATGTGATATGGAGGTATCGGTGATGGTGTTCTTTTCTTGCCATGTACACTAAATGCATGGGGTGTTCTTCAGCCAAAGGTAAACTGGATTGTGCCCATAATGATTAAATAACTGCTATTTTCCCGCCTTTAGCAGTGCATAGAAACCCTTTCCTGAAGCAACCTACTTTGTTTAAGGGTAAGGCTTATATAGTTTACTTTGGGGTACATACAAGGCTGGATTTTCATTACAGTAATCCAACTATAATTTTCTTACTAATACATATGACAATATATAGTTACTTGTTTCACTTTTATATATTGTCTCACACACTTTGTAAGTTTTTGAAAAAACTGCATTAAAAGAAGTTTCTGCTATCTATCCAGAAAATGTAGGAAGAGTGGAATCCAGCAGAAACCAGTGTATACTCTGGCTTAGGCGGGCTCAACCATTTCCTTTGATTTCTCAGCAAAAAAAAAAAAGAAAGTACAAGAAATTCAGCTATATGCAGGGTAGGACTAGCTGTGCACCCTGTAATACAATAGCAGTTCTTGTCTGCTGTTTACAGCAAAGCATGCTGATGCAAAGAAAGTGCTGAAGCAGGATTTAGAATGCACAGAGTCTAGTTCATAGATAATGTAGTATTTGGCAGATTAGACAAATTAAAAGAGAGGTGGTTCTGTTTTCTGTTCTGACCATATGTGCAGCCCTCAATTGTTTATTTAGGCAATCAAAAGGATTACTCAGTAACTAAAGCCTCTACCTGCACTCTACTACAGGAATAATGGTACTTGAATAATTCCATTTTTCCTTCTCACCCTTTCCTAAATTGCGCCACAAGAGTTAAAGAGGCCTAGCAATGGGTCAGCAAAGGGCAAGCACAAAAACCAATTAAAACCTTCTCTTCTTAGGTGCCTGACCTTTGTGGCACAAACCCTCCAGCTTTCAGACAGCAGACTACTGTGTGCTTGGTGTCATAGCAGCTTTTTCCTAAGCCACCAGTTCTGTTTTCAGCAAAAGACATGCAAGTCTGACAACAGCATTGAAAACCTTTTCGAATAAGCTTAAGAAATGAAAGGGTGTGTTTTTCAAGCAAAAAAAAAAAAGAAAAAGAAAAAGGTAGAAATCATGTTTAAATGATCTCTGCCTCATATTAAAAAAATAAGGCATGGCTTCTCTGTCCTTTGAAGTATTCTACTACCCTTTTAATTTCCTTTGACAAATTTGGAAACAGGAAGGAAAAGTTTACTAATAGTGAAATACATATGATGAATACACGTGACATGCACTAGAAAACATGCTCACTCCCATATTTATTTATATATTTATATATAACATTTTCTATCCTGCTTTTCCAATTGCTTTGCACTTACTACTCATGATAGCTCACAAAACTTGCAAATTACAATATCATAAAAATACAATAACATCCATTAAAATAAAGTAAAACGAATTATGTCTGTACGTTTACACTCATTCCTTAACAACAGCTCCGAACAGATAATAAAACTGAATTGAACCTGAACCAAGGTCCCTCCAGTCGAAAGAGAAGCTATCCAAAACATAACTGACAGTTGGTCCAAATCTGTTGAAAAGAAAAGGTCAGGTAGGCAGCTGGAGATGGTTGGCAGAAAGAAAACTGGTGACTGCAGAGTAGAGCTCGGAAAGGGGACTGGTTTTCAATATGAGAGGTCTTTGCTGGAAGAAGATGTGAAGGAAATGAGAGATGGTGGCTGGGAGAGGAAGAAGCCGTGTAATGAGGTTGGGGTGCCGTTTCAAAGGGGCACCTGAGCCCAGAAGGGTGGAAGTAGCACCAAAGGGAACTTAGGCAAGTATCCCTTAGAAATGAATGGCAGTAGAATCCATAAGCAGCAGGAAGAGCTGAGGGAGGGGGCAGAGGAAGTCAGCTGGACAGCATCTGTTCCTCATGAGGAAATGGCTGGAGTGAGAGTGCAGCGCAATCTGGTCTCAGGGAAAAGTGGACCTTCTAATCTGCAGGGAAAGTTTTTGAGATAGCAAAGCTTTAGCTAGGAGAGTTCATCTTACATATTACGAACAGTAACCAAGGATATTTAATCTAACTGTATTTAAGGAATTTTAACCAGTTATTTCCATCTATAAACAGTAAATATGTTAGCTTTATTCATCCTGTAAGTTTGTCCCTGGTGCCCACTCAGTTTCTGTAACAAAACAGGTGATTTATTTTCATTTCAATATGTTTTATAGTTAAGTAAACCTTCCTTATATGTGATATCTAGTTGTGAATTTTATTTCACAAAGTGGCAGGGACTTCCACAAACCCAAACTTCAAAATTGTATAAGGGGAATATAGGTGGGGAATACTCTGTCTCATCACATGTAACGGTTGTAGTGAGATGACCTACAGTGTTTTGCAACATTTATCTAAATCGTTATGTGCTCCAGTTAGAGCCAGTATATTTAAGATTTTTGTTTTTATGATAATACTTTCTTTCTAGGTCTCTGTAGCCTTTCTTAGAGAATGAGGATATCTTTTTTTAAAGGGGAGGGCTAAGATCATGGAAGATAGTTTTATAAATTTCTGCTGGTTACTTGATACTTTCATATTGTAATTCTTATACTGGGATTTATAATTCAGCTTTGCAAAAATAAAAACAGAAATTATCCTTCAGGTCT